TTTTCCATTGCTGGAAGCTTTTGTGTTCTAACACTTTTTGCAATATGTCCCAAATGCACTTTACGAGAGATTTAGAACTGTCTGCACGCCCACCTATCCCTAAAATATCTCTCCTATTTCCCTTGGACATGCCCAGAATTTTAAATTTTAATCCTTACAGTTGGCCCTGCCACAGGTTTTTAAATGCGTTTTGCTTTGTTATGAGTTATTTATAGTTGTATTGTTGTTATGTTTTGTGATGTATTTGGGCTCGGCCTCTTGTAAGCCGCACCGAGTTCTGCGGGAGATGATAGCGGGGTATAAATAAAGGATTATTATTATTATTATTATTATTATTATTATTATTATTATTATTATTTAAAAAAGCAGAAGTTCTAACTGTAATGTACACTTTTAAAAAACCAAATCACAAAGAGTGCACTTTTTTCCACCGCACATTACATTTGGCAATAAATACTTTTTTTGTTGTTGTTTCAGGATTTTGAAAATTGAAGTGGTTGCTGAAGTCGGTCATGAAGGTAAATACCAGAATTATATACTGACTTAACAATAGACTTAAAGTGAACCTATAATTCAAAATAATTCAAAATTCAAGCATTAAATAGGGTGACTGGAGCAAAACTACGACTCTGCACCCTATCTGCTGACTAACTTTAGATGAAGTGTGGAGTACAACTGTGATTAGTAGGCAAGTAAAGATACCCCAGAATCTTAAAACCATATTTTGGAGAATATTATCTGTGTCCCGCAAACAAAAGCATCAGTAGTGTTCTCAAATATGTGAAAACACTTGGCTATGCTGAAATACTGTGTTCAACTCGGGTGCACGCTTAGTTTCTATGTTTTTTTATGTGCATATTTTAGTACCTAGACAAGTTATCAAGTTGTGTTGTTCATTCGTTCAGTCGTCTCCGACTCTTCGTGACCTCATGGACCAGCCCACGCCAGAGCTCCCTGTCGGCCGTCACCACCCCCAGCTCCTTCAAGGTCAGTCCAGTCACTTCAAGGATCCCATCCATCCATCTTGCCCTTGGTCAGCCCCTCTTCCTTTTTCCTTCCATTTTCCCCAGCATAATTGTCTTCTCTAGGCTTTGCTGTCTCCTCATGATGTGGCCAAAGTACTTCAACTTTGTCTCTAGTATCCTTCCCTCCAATGAGCAGTCGGGCTTTATTTCCTGGAGGATGGACTGGTTGGATCTTCTCGCAGTCCAAGGCACTTCAGAACTTTCCTCCAACACCACAGTTCAAAAGCATCGATCTTCCTTCGCTCAGCCTTCCCTAAGGTCCAGCTCTCACATCCGTAGGTTACTACAGGGAATACCATGGCTTTGACTAGGCGGATCTTTGTTGCCAGTGTGATGTCTCTACTCTTTACTATTTTATCGAGACTCCCAAGAAGTAAGCGTCTTCTGATTTCCTGGGCACAGTCTGCATCTGCAGTAATCTTTGCACCTAGAAATACAAAGTCTGTCACCGCCTCCACATTTTCTCCCTCTATTTTCCAGTTGTCAATCATTCTTGTTGCCATAATCTTGGTTTTTTTATGTTTAGCTGCAACCCAGCTTTTGCACTTTCTTCTTTCACCTTGATTAGAAGGTTCCTCAGCTCCTCCTCGCTTTCGGCCATCAGAGTGGTGTCATCTGCATATCTGAGGTTGTTAATGTTTCTTCCAGCAATTTTCACCCCAACTTTTCATCAAGCCCCGCACATCGCATGATGTGTTCTGCATACAAGTTAAAAAGGTTGGGTGAGAGTATGCAGCCTTGCCGTACGCCTTTCCCATCTTGAACCAGTCTGTTGTTCCGTGGTCAGTTCTTACTGTTGCTACTTGGTCCTTGTACAGATTCCTCAGGAGAGAGACAAGGTGGCTTGGTATGCCCATCCCACCAAGAACTTGCCACAATTTATTATGATCCACACAGTCAAAGGCTTTAGAGTAGTCAATGAAGCAGAAATAGATGTTTTCTGAAACTCCCTGCCTTTCTCCATTATCCAGCGGATATTGGCAATCTGGTCTCTCGTTCCTCTGCCTTTTCTAAACCCAGCTTGAACATCTGGCAACTCTCGCTCCATGTATTGCTGGAGTCTTCCTTGCAGGATCTTGAGCATTACCTTACTGGCATGAGAAATAAGGGCCACTGTACGGAAGTTTGAGCAGTCTTTCACATTTCCCTTTTTTGGTATGGGGATATAAGTTGATTTTTTCCAGTCTGATGGCCATTCTTGTGTTTTCCATATTTGCTGGCATATGGCATGCATCACCTTGACAGCATCATCTTCAAGATTTTAAACAGTTCAGCTGGGATCCCGTCGCCTCCTGCTGCCTTGTTGTTAGCAATGCTTCTTAAGGCCCATTCAACCTCACTCCTCAGGATGTCTGGTTCTAATTCATTCACCACACCGTCAAAACTATCCTTGATATTATTATCCTTCCTATACAGATCTTCTGTATAGTCTCGCCACCTTCTCTTGATCTCTTCAGCTTCTGTTAGGTCCCTGCCATCTTTGTTTCTTATCATACCAATTTTTGCCTGAAATTTACCTCCACTGTTTCTAATTTTCTGGAAGAGGTCTCTTGTCCTTCCTATTCTGTTGTCTTCTTCCACTTCCATGCATTGCTTATTTAAAAATAGTTCCTTATCTCTTCTGGCTAACCTCTGGAATTGCACATTTAACTGGGCATATCTCCCCTTATCACTGTTTCCTTTTGCTTTCCTCCTTTCTTGGGCTACTTCCAGTGTCTCAGCAGACAACCATTTTGCCTTCTTGGTTTTCTTTTTCTTTGGAAGTACTTTGTTGCCGCCTCCTGAACAATGTCGCGGACTTCTGTCCATAGTTCTTCTGGGACTCTGTTTACTAAATCTAGTCCTTCAAATCTGTTCTTCACTTCCACTGTATATTCGCTAGGAATGTTATCAAGTCGTAGGGGACTTTAAACAGCTAGTATAACACACCTATATTCCTGAAGACAAATCTAAGCCAGACCAGTAGGTTTAGATCAGTGGTTCCCAACCTGTGGTCTGTGGACCACCAGTGGTCCACAAGAACTGAAATATGGTCCGCAGCCTCATCGTTACTACACCATTGCAACGAGAGCGACTGGTCTCATGAAGCCCTCTTATAGTGTCATGGCTTATTAAATATGATTTTCTGTGGACAAGCAGATGGAGACTAGTGGATGGCATATGTTCTGTATCAAGGAACAGAAGAGCAAAAAAAAGAAGATAAAACAAGTGGTCCCTGGTCAAAAAAAGGTTGGGAACCATTGGTTTAGATGCATGATTCATGATGAGGTAATAATGATGGGAATGAAGGGAAGAAAAGGGTAGAATTTAAAAATCCTGACACTTTGCATGATTCACCCAGATAAATTTAACCAGAAGGCACCACACAAGTGAAGATGCTTTTGTCAACATCAGCATCTAGGAAAAACAAATAACAAGAGGAACATTCAAGGTATGTTTGAAGAAAAGACACCAGAGTTATTGGAGCTGTAGTCAAAAGATTTCCAGGACACATGATTCAGCCCCTAGTCTTGGCATAAGAAAAAGAGGCACCGTATTTGCAATTTACCAGGGATAGGTATCTTTATATTTGCCAAAGTGTCTTGCTACTTCATACTAACTTGTAAATATTCATAATATGTACAAAGTTGGTTTTCATTCAAAGGTATGAGGTAGACAGTGAAGTCTATTCATTCCAAGGTTTAAAATAGACAGCAAAGTTTATGCCCCCCTGGCATTAAAGTACAGACAGACCCAACCGTCAAAGTTCTGGTCTCCTATAGCCATCTGGTGGTCAAACTTAGTATAAGAATTGGCAGAGAAGAGATGTCAACGACAAGAAGAAGCTGCATGAGGAAACATTCCTATTTCAGTGAGTTGTTTAAAAGTCTGAATTGATCTTTTTTTTTTCTTATAGGAAAGCTCTCCTGAGAGCCTCACACAGCCGTGAGTGAAGACCTCCCCCTGGTGCTATCTCCCCATGAAAACTAACCTTTACTCCCCCTCACCTCCCCCCCCCCCCTGCATTCTGGCCAGGCATGTGGGCCTCATTTAAAGTTTGTCCATGCCTATGGTAGATCAATTTTCTATTTAATGTCATGATTTATTTTTAATCAAGATCTTATTTTTATCTTACAGAAGCGAAATTTATAGGCATTCAGGAATAAAGGTTTTCTCAACAACCTGCCAAAAGTTATTTGGGTGTGTGTTTCTATAGAGTCAAAGTACAATTGGACTCAGGTTGATCTCAGTGGCCTTATGTGCAATCAATGTTTTTATCAAATACATCTTCAAGATATGACCAATAAAGATTTAATTAATATAGTCAAATCATTCACTTTGCCAAGTTTTTCTGCTGGCACCGCTTGAAATAATGTTGAGTTTTTTTTGCAGGTCCCTTCTATCTGAACTTCTGCTTAGTCTTTCTGGATGTTCTGTTGCATAAGGCAATGAATGAATGGGAGCAAAAGGAGCTTCCCAATAGATTCTTCTCTAAGTCTTTAGAGCTACTCTAATTCTTCCATTTTTAATTTCGTGAGTTTGTTTGGTTCTCAGGGTGCATTCTTTGCATATGTACCTTAATAACTGTAACCGTTTTGTTTCCAAAGGTACAATTTAAAAAAAAAATAGTAATAGGTGGCAGCAGATTTTTGGTTAGAATTTTATGTACAGATCAAAACAACCAAAATTTCTCAAATCACTTCGGTACAGAACTTGGAAAATTGCATTTTATAGCAAAAGAATGCATATCCTCAGCACCTTTCTATTTCATTCCTATAAAAAAATTACGGATAGCTTTCGGATCTTTTGGAAATAGCTTCATGATTATCAGCAAGTTGTTAAATGAAGTTTAAAATTCCAATGAAGGTCTAAACACATTTTAACACTTTGCCTTACATCTCAGATTCACATTACACAGACCATAACTGTATACTATTTACAGATCTAAATGATGTCAAAAAACTAAGAACACAAGAAAACAGTAACTTTCGCAAATGATGTGACCAAATAAAATACGTTTATTTTAATGTCACAATATCCATTTTAAGAGGCACACAAATGGCCTGAATCAACGGTGATCACTATATAACCAATCCCAGGTGCTGGACAAATTATGCTTGCTGGATTATAGTGTATGGATTCCATTCTGGCTATATCTCATTCTAAAGAGAGAAAAAACATGAGCACAAGGTGTATTGAATCTATTTGAATCTATTATAACACTTGACAGTAAATATGGATGCTTTATTTATGAGACCAGGGTGGCAAAACATGTCTACAGCATTTTAAAAAATATTACCAGCAATAGCTTAAGCAAGATGTGGAACTTAATATTTTGACTGAAAAGTTTCCTTGTCCAGCATGAATTCTGCAAATCTCTGCTGAAGCTCTTTCTCTCTCTCCTGTTGCCTCTGAACATCTTCTTTTAGACACTGCAATAATAAATACAATAAATTTGGTTCACAAAGGTGCTATATAGGGATTTCAACTAAACATAAAGTAAAACCAATTTTCCCACAGTTAAGTAATGCCGCCTACAAGTGTAAATAAAACAATCTATGCCTCAGGTTCATAATGTAGAAGACACGGCAAGTACTGAAAAGGTCTTTGGTAGGTAACCATTTCTCCATGTGACAGCAAATCTTTCAGGAATGTTGTGGAGGCAGCCGTGAAAAGTATTTTTAAATCTATGTATAAATGCTCTATGCATAATGAGTACCTTAAAAACAAAAGAACCAATGAACGAAATCACACCAAATTTGGCAACAAAACGTCTCACAACACAAAGAGTGACCATCACTCAAAAAATTATGATTTTGTCATTTGGGAGTTGTAGTTGCTGGGATTTATAGTTCCCCTACAATCAAAGAGCATTCTGAATTCCATCAATGATGGAATTGAACCAAACTTGGCACACAGAACTCCCATGACCAACAGAAAATACCGGAAGGGTTTGGTGGACATTGACATTGAGTTTGGGAGTTGTAGTTCACCTACATCCAGAGAGCACTGTGGACTCAAACAATTATGGATCTGGACCAAACTTGACACAAGCACTCAATATGCCCAAATATGATCACAGATAAGAGTTTGGGGGAAATAGACCTTGACATTTGGGATTTGTAGTCACTGGGATTCACAGTTCACCTACAATCAAAGAGCATTCTGAACCCTACAAACAACAGAATCGGGTCAAACTTCCCACACAGAACTCCCATGACCAACAGAAAATATTTAAGGCCATCCATTCCAACTCCCTTCATCAGGGCAACAAAATGTAATTAGAGGCCTCCTGACAAAGAGCCATCCAGCCATAGATATAGATAGATATGATTCACACACAGAGAGATATAGTATCATAGATTTGAAAGGGACCCCTAAAGAAGGACAATGATATGTTGCATGTTCCAGGATGGGCAAACCAGACACTCTCCACATCAACACTGACAAAGAAACAGCAAGAAATACTGTTTACCCACAAGCACAAAAAATTACATATATTAGAAACTAACACTTTCTCGTTACTTTATTTTCCAGATCAACAGACTGGGCCACAGCAATGCGTGGCAGGGGACGGCTAGTATAGTTTATATAAAACAAACAATCAAAAATAAGAAAGAAGACACCTCATGGATGTTGGAAAGAAACATAAGAAAAGTAAATAAAACATAACTCTTATCCTCAATGTGTGTGTGTGTGTATGTAGCATCCTGTCATAACCCAATATATTTTTACTCCTCATTCTCCTTTCAGATAGCCAACAGACCTACCTCCAGTCTCCTTGGAATAGCAGAATCTTCATGTTTCTTTAATTCCTCAAATGTGCGCAATTCAAGGTGAGCTTGCTCAATTTGGTCCCACAAGTCATTTAATTGTTTTATGAGTCCCATTGCTCGGGACTGATAACCACCAAGCAAGATCTTTAGCTTTTTCTCCATTTTGGCAGCCCTCTTAGCTTCTGTAGTCATGTGGCCTCTGTTAATCTGCAGACAGAATAATGTACACAAACACTGAGCAGGGTCAAGATTAAGCAGATTCATACCATGACTGAAAGAGCTATAACTCAGGCACAAAAAAACTCCTATTATATTGCTAAATTCTTTTTGTCACAGACAGAGGCAAGTACAAAATAAGTTGAGGTTATTCACATGAACCTTTTGTTTTTGGAAAACAATGCCAAAGTTGATGGTTTCAAATAAATAAAATAGGTTTTCTGGAATTTGTAACAGTAACATAAGAGAAGGAGGTCCAAACTCAAGACAAGAAAAAAGAATGATCAGAAGACATGGACAAAAAAGGAACTCTTGGGGAATTGAGGCTCAATGGGCACAGAAAGAAATATAGTTACAAAAATTCAATTTATTTAAGTAATGTGTAGATGATGTCATTTCTAAAATGCATGGAAAATGTAGTTTAATCAGTTATTAAGAGTCATTTTTAATATTATGGTTGACAATGAAATTCAAGTTTAACTGAACCAGTTTAAAGTATGAAAACTTAATCCAGATATCATAACACACACTTTATAATTTTGCCTTTGTGTGTAAAAGAAATGGGCTGAGCCTCCCTAATGGTTAAGATGAAGGTCTGTGGATTTTTTTTCAAAGCCATAATCTATGCTTGATGATAAAATAGAAAAAACCCGTGGCTACATTAGATTAAGATCAACTCCAGCAATGCAAACCTCATGGCCTACCTCTACTGCGAATGACTGGAGAATCAGGGTCATGTGTGCAGGCCATGCTGCCAGTGGGAGAGAACTGCACAATAGTGGAATTCAAGCGATTAGATCAGGGATTCTCAAACTTTTTCAGCCGCAGAGTGAAAATTTCTCATGGAGCCCCAAGAAATGTTTTTATATTATATTATATAATGTATATATATATATCAGGCATGGGCAAAGTTTTTGATGCACTGCGTTTTAAAATTTGACATATGGACTGGGCCAGTGGCACATGGATGGATAATAATAGCAGGAGCCACATGAGTCATCCAGTTCAACTCCCTTCTGCCATGCAGAAAAGGCACAATCAAAGCACTTCAAACAGATGGCCATCCAGGCTTTGTAGTAATAGTAATGATAATAGGTTCTTGTGGGTTTTTTTGGGCTATAGGGCCATGTTCTAGAGGCATTTCTCCTGACGTTTCGCCTGCATCTATGGCAAGCATCCTCAGAGGTAGTGAGGTGACCTCTAAAACATGGTCCTATAGCCCGAAAAAACCCACAAGAACCTAGTGATTCCAGCCATGAAAGCCTTCGACAATAAATTAGTAATGATAATAGCAATAATAATAGCAGAAACAGGAGCCATTCAGTTCAACTCCCTTCTGCCATGCAGAAAAAGAAGACTCAAAGCACACCCTGAGCGGTGGGAGGGAAATAGGATTTAAAAAGCCAGCAAGGAAATAGGATTTTGAGGATAGGATCTGGACAGTGAGGAAAAAAAGTCTTTTCACAGCTAGGGAGGTGGGGGCGTGTGTGTGTGTGTGTGTGTGTGAAGGAGCTGGAAAGAAGAGGAGGCGAGAGAGGAGGGGGGGGAAAGCACAGAGCTCCTCAATATGCACAGAGCCCCAAGGGCTCCATGGAGCACACTTTAAGAACCACTGGATTAGATACTTGTCACCCACATTTCTCCTCCTTTGTTCCTGGTAGGTGTTCTACAGCAAGGCACTGAATGATGCAATAAATTTGCGTGTTTGCTCCTCTCTTACTATTGCCCCATAATGTCATTCCACCACTTTATTTAATTTGTTTTCTCAAATGCACAGTAATAAACACTGACAACAAAATCAGAGGAAAAAACCAAGAAGTTATACTAACCTCTAATCTCTTCTCAAGTGACTCAATTCTATCTTTTTTGCTGGCTAAGTTTGCACGTGTGTAACGATTCTGTCCTGGGAGGAATAATACCTGACTGTAACATTCCTCCCACACTTGGCTGTAAGCTTCACTGGAAAGCTCTCCATGCCCCATCCCTTGCTTCACCACTTCCATTTCTTGAGCCAAGAGTTCCTCAGCCTGTCAGAAACAAACAATTTATCATTATAACTTTAACTCTCCTGCTATGCTTGAATGATCAAAAGTGTAATTCAAAGGAGCATTTTCATAAATTCCACTAGCTCTGTTCTAGTTGGGAGTGCCAACTGGATTTTAGCCCATGATTCCAAATCCATTTTGGAATCACACACCAATTGAAAGAGATGGCCCTTTAATCGGGAAATGTGGAAAACGGGTCAGATTCCACTTGTGTTGACGGGACTACAAAAAGTCATCAAAATGGATTCTGGATTTTAAAAGCTTAAAGGTAATTAATGTAAACAACTCTGATATTTTTCTCTAATTTAATTTCCATGCACTTGTTCCGAGACTATATTGGTTCCTTCAACATTTCTGCAGGGATTCTAGGATTAATCTCAACAATTTCTTAACATGGAACAGTTTATCAGAGATTACAAAATAATGACAGGTTGCTTAACTGTAACTGTGTCTCTTTGGTCATCAAATAGCAGCTCTACAGATGACACATAAAGGAATCCATCTCCAAATGTAATGAATGCTGCCACTTGGTTGAAACCCACTTGGTGAGACACCAAATAGAAACAGGGAATACTCCAAGCCAATGGGAGGGTTCTGAAGAACTCTGGGAGGACAATGCCCTATTAGGTGGGAGGAGACACTTTTCTTTTTGCTGAAAGTTGTGTCTGCTCCTGCCTAACTGGACAACAATATTCCCTGCCTTGCAAGGAGTTCTTTATATATATAAAAAATACATTAGAATTTTTGCATATGATATGGGGCCCCCATATCTGGTGGCACTACTGCTATTCTCCAGATGGAAACAGTTTTTCCTAAAACATAGTAACCAATAATTCTAGTTAGGAATAGTTTGCATGGATTTTGCTTTGAAAATGTATTGAATTTGAGTGAATGGTAAAGTATGTTACATTTATTTTGAACAAGTTGCTATTTGAATACAAATCTAGACACGTTTCATTATTTTTGAATGCATATTTTCTGATTGTATATTAGTTTGTGTCAAATAATTTTTAAAAAATAGGAAAAAAGAAACTGAAGAAAAAGAAATCCCAAAGGTCACTTTGGTGCTGCTACTGCTAGGGACAAAAAGGAACTAAAGCTTAGGACACAATTGTTAAGGTTGTAGCATCCAAAGGATTCTGGATGGTGCTCTGTGCAGGCCCAAAACAACACATTTAATTCACAGAGACCACGAAGAACCGCCAGAAGTATTCTCAAATACTCCCAGGTACATGCTTTAGAGATTATCTGGTTGTTTTGAAAGTGCTCCTCTTGCAAAATACAATATTATGCTACCAAGGGTAGGGAAATGAACATAAATGGTGTAAAAATATGTACCTTCTTGAGATCATCCTTTGAAAACTTCTCATAAGGACTGTATTCAAGGTAAGACATGTGTTCTGCACTACTTGATCCAAATCCAGGGACTTTTGGTTTTTTGCTACCAGGAAGCTCTCCATAAGGGTGATGCAGAAGATCAAAGTGAAGCATGGTGATCATCTCTTTCTTAATCAACTCTTCACTCTTCTGTAAGTCCGTCAGTGGCGGCTCTACATTTAAAGGTCTTAATATGGTTTCATTTACCTAAGCCAAAAAATACATATATACAATTAGTCTCTACAACATACCAACTAATACTGTTAGTTTTATCTTTGTGCTTTGTCCTGTAAATATAACAATAACACTTTATTTATATCCGGCCCCATCTCCCCGTGGGGACTGGGGGGGGGGGGCTTAGAACATGAAAAGGCAAATATTCAATGCCATACATTACAATAAATAAACAATACAATTAAATAGTATAAAACAATTAATTATACAAGCAACTGTATAAAACCAGTAAGAACATATTGAATAACATCAATAAGAGCAAAAAAGCAATAATTTAAAATACATATCTTAGAGCACATATTTTACATCTACTTATATAAGAGGTTACAGTTAAAATATAACTAAACTGTCTGTAAAACAGGAAAAAAAACCTGGCTATTCAAACAAGCTTTTGAGAATGCCTAGTCCCTAGTTGTCCTGCACAATAGTTACACAGCCTTGCACTTCACCCCCATGCTCTTTTTCCATTGTTACAACTCTGTCCTATTATTTACAGACTGGCCACATTTACAGTAGCTTGCTGCCATTGGCTGATGAGCGCAGTTTTATTGAGTCTTAGTTGCTGTTTTATATGCCTATGTGTTTTACTCTATTGCATTTTATACTATTTTATGTTCTGTTTTTAGGTACCTTGTGCCGTGTGTAAGCTGCCCTGAGTCTCTTCGGGGAGATTGTGGTGGGTACAAGAATAAAGTTGCTTTAAATGTATTTTTTATTAGAATTAACAAATACATACTTCTGAAGGTCTTGGAAGATCTTTTTGAATTGCTTTGTGCATCCGCTTCAGTGCCTTTACACGCTCAAGTTCTCGAATGGTCTAGAAAGATATTGAAAACATCCAAGATTAAGTTGTATAACAGCCCAAGCCTATCAACAATAATGTATAAAATATAATAAATTACAAAATCACAAGACTCTGCTAAAGCAAGAGTCTTTATGGAAATCAAAAGATGAAAAAGTAAGATAACATCACCATGCGACAAATCCTAGAATAGAGCATTCCAGCCTCCCATCCTCTCTCATTATAAAGCCAAACATACCAAAAATCAAAACCACACAAAATCAACTAACCCAAAGTTCCTCCAAGTGGACAAGAACAAAGCAGACAGCAATCTCTCAAAGTGAAGAACATGAGGCATGGAGGCTGCTCCCTTGAAGCCCTAGCGCTCCCTCCCGCTCTAGATCATAACCCAAATGCTGCTCTTATGTCAAAGTAAAACAAGGGTCAACTGTTCTTTACTCAAAATGTTCCTAAGTTGGTATGCTCTTAAGCACTGCTGGTTGTCCTTACTTTTGCACCCTTTTATCTTCAGATATTATAAAATAAGTTTTTATAAAAAATTAAAATATGTAATGTTTTCTTTGGATTTTACTAAACTGTTTTAGGCTTTACTTATTTGTAAAATAAAGATATCTCCTGAGCTTAAAACAGCTGACGGGGGTTCAAATGTTTCAATAACACCTCTCACACTCCTTACAGAATAGGGTAGTGTTTTGATTTTTTAGAAATAAGAAAATGGACGGGGGCATGCTGAGGGGCTGTGAAATATCTGCACTTCTAGTTTACAACATTTATCAGCAACAACAACAACACTTTATTTATATTCCACCCTTCTCACCCCGAAGGGGACTCAGGGAGGATCACAGCACATACATGGCAAACATGCAATGCTGTTTTTGTATAGACAATACACAGAAAGACAGAACAAAAAGGAGGTGTTGTTGACTCAGTGTCCAGCTGTTTGTTTGTTTATTTTTATTTATTTATTTATTTATTTTTTGGTGTCAAGGAAGGCGAGTCCAGCCACGGGGGTGCTGTTGCTCCATTCTGTATGACTTCCTCCTTTTTTGGTCACTCAGCGTTTTCTGATCTTTCTTTATGGCGTCGTAAAACACCTCCCCCACTTTTAGCGGTACCCAATTTATCTAATTACAGCTAAAGCTGTTTTCGAACTGCTTAGGTAAACAGTGAGCAGGGCTGACAATCGACTGCTCATGCTGACTCGGGGCTTCGAACTTGCAACCTTTAGTTGACAGATCTTCTAGTTGCTGGTGATTTATCAGCTGGGCTAAACCTCTGGCCATTCTCTGCATTCTTCTAAATTACAGTGGCTACACCTTTCTGTTTCACAAGAATAGTTCTTATTAATAATAATATACCTTCCCTAAGAACTATTGCTCTCAGTTAAGCTCATAAATAGCACAGGAGAACACATTACAACTGCTTATAAATGTCTTGACCTATGAACTAATCATTTCAAGAATGTTCTCAATTATCCCCATATTGCTATTTAAGAACAAATTAAAAATGCATTCCCACCTGTTTGCGAGCATCTACATCAGCCGCATCTTCTATATGTGTATCATCTATGTTACGATCCTCAAGATCCTTTTCAGCATTTTCTGGTAGAACTATTTCAAAGTCATTCTTTGGAGATGGAAGGCCCATAAGCCCTAAGCGCAAATTTTCACGGGACTCTCGTTCCTGTTAAAGCAAGTTAATGAATTAAATAAAAAATAAATGTTTATCTAACATGAATAAGAGCAAAATGTGGTTTACTTTTTTGCCTCCTCAATAAAATATTGTATTTGTAATTTGGCTTTCCTCTGAACGAATTATCGAACACAGTAAGATTTATTTCTCAATTGATTAATCAAAGCTGTAAGGGAAGCTCTAAATAATTCTGGGATTTCTTTTATCCATTTCTGATCACAGTAGTAGTATGAGGCATACAGTAAATATACATAAGACATACAATAACTACATAAGATTTTTTTTCTTTCCAAAATTCAGGTTTTCAAGACTTCTTGTTTCATACCTATTTTGGGTCAGTAACTATGACTGCAAAATCAAACCATTATCTATAGAGGAAGAGCCTACATTTATTAAATAACACAGGGAAGGCTATGTCATTACAATAATTTCATACTTACCAAATGTTTTGTATATGATGGATCACTATAATCTACCATTCCCTCTTCAGGATTAATATTCAGTTTATCCCGTAGTGGAGTTCTGCCTGGAGTCACTCCCACCACTGGCTTTGGAGTCATTCCAGAATGAGGCGTCAGGCCTTCAGCTCCATGAACAGGTGTCCTAAAATACATACAATATACTTGAGGGAAGTAGCAGAATTTTTGTGTACCTCTCTAAAGTTAACCCAACATTACATTTAGAGTTGTGCAGTGTGAATGTTTGACTAGGGCTCCAGGAGACCAAAGGGCAATTAAAACTAATAGCCAGCATATATATAGGGCTATAGGAATAAAGTTAGAAAGGTAAACAACAGAATAAGCTCAGGTTTGCTTGCAAGGTTAAACACAATGAAAGGACATTTAAGTTATGTCCATAACTAAAGTAAGAATATGGAGACTTCCATCTAAGTCACCAGTCTCCCTTTTCCAGCAAGATCCACTACATGATAAGCCCATTGTGTAGAGGTGATAGTGAATTGCTAACGTGACAGCGAAAAGGCACACCTACTCTACATCTTCTTTGCCTCAGTCTTCTCTCAAAAGGTAACAGTGCCCAACTTGGGAAAGATGGAGCAGAGGATGCAGTAGGGGAAATACAATACAGAATAAGTAAAGAGGCAGTACAGGAATATCTAGGTAATCTGCACGTAAATCGGGGCCAGGTTTACGACATTCAAGGCTATGAAAAGAACTGAGAGAAATAATTTCAGAACCACTGGCAATCCTTTTTTAGAGTTCCTGGAGAACAGGAGAAGTTCCAGCAGATTGGAAGAAGGAAAATGTTGATCCCACCTGCAAAGGGAGGAGGGAGACCAACCCAAACAATGACAACCCATTCAGTCTGACATTAATACCAGGAAAGATCTGGAGCAAATCATTAAAGACACAATCTGCAAGCATTTCAAAAGGAATGCCATATTCACTAAATGTTATCAAGGTTTTTTCAAAAACACATCATGCCAGACTAATCTTATTAAATTTGCAGATAACATCAAATTGTTCCAGAAGACAGGAACAAAATTCAAAACAACCTTAACAGATTAGAGAGCTGGGCCAAAATTTAACACAATGAACTTCATCAGGGAGAAAAGTACAGTACTGCACTTAGGCAATAAAAATGAAATGCACAGATATAGGATGGGTGACACCTGATTTTTTTTATTATTCTGTTTTGGTCAGACCTCACCTTGAATAATACTGTATCAAGTTCTGGTCACAATTCAAGAAAGATATTGACAAACTGGAATGTGTCCAGGGAAGGACGACCAAAATGACCAAAGGTTTGGAAACCAAGCTCTATGAGGAACAGCTGAAGCAGCTGGGTAGGTTTCTCTTGGAAGGGAAAAAAAGGCTGAGAGGGGAACATAGCTGAGTTTTAAATATCTGAAAGGGTGTCACATTGAGGAGGGAGCAAGCTTTTTTATGGAGCAGTGGATTCAAATTACATGAAAGGATATTCCACATAAACATTAGGAAGAACAATTTAAGGCAGAAGAATTTGCTGCCTTAAATTGTGGTGGTCTTCTTTGGGTGTTACTGCATGGCAGAAGGGAATTGGACTGGATGGCCCTTGAAGTTCACTTCTAACTCCATCTCTCCCATACACAAACATTTAAGCAGCCTGACTTACCTGAAGGGTGTGGAAAGTACAGTATTTGGAGTCTGAACCACTTGTCTCTGAGGTGTTATCCCAGAGAAGTCACTCTCATGAAGGGGTGTATTAAGGCCGCCTTTCAAGGGAGTGTCAACATTTGTTAGTGCCATCAAGTTCTGAGCTTCCTATATAGAAAGACATACAAAGCATAGATGAATCATAACTCAAAACCATAAATTCCGTATTCAAATTGATACCAAAAGAAGGAAAAGAAGACCATCCCCTCACAAACACTTTGAAATCACTTGGGAAGCACTAAAACACAGTGGTTCTCAACCTGGGTCCCCAGATGTTTTTGGCCTACAACTCCCAGAAATCCCAGCCAGTTTACCAGCTGTTAGGATTTCTGGGAGTTGAAGGCCAAAAACAACTGGGGACCCCAGGTTGAGAACCACTGCTCTAGACCCTATTCACCCCCCCCCCCCCCCCCAATTTCCAAACAGCAATAAAATAATTTAAAGCATGAAGTCCTAAAAAGTTGTAAGAAACTACTATGGTATTTTAGTATTTTAGCTGATAAATGGGGGAAAAACTGTCCTCACTAATATCCTTGGTTGACTCCTCTTTCCAGGAATAACCATCTCAAGTTTAAGGCCCCTAAATCTCAGTGTAAAATATAGATAAATAAAGGATTAACTTGGTTCAGGAAATTCTATCTTTCTGTTTATATCACCTCTTCTTTCTTGCCAGCCCAGTTTTGTATCAAATGAGAGCAGGATATAAAATGCCCTCAGCTTTGATCTTGGTAGCTAGTTACTTCATAAAAATGTAACAAAGGATGAATCTGAAAAGAACAACACTTCAGAAGTTCCCAGAGAGTTTTAAAATGAGGTTTGTGTTACATTTAGGCTTCACCTGAAGGATCCTGTCTTGCGCTGCTGGGGTTTTGGGTGTTCGAAGGGCAATGCTGTTGTTGGTAACATTGTATTCTGACAACAGTGTGCTGGAAGCAGAATTTGTGATCCCAGATTCCTCAGCTGTTTGACGTGCAATCTCACTGGCTTGGCCAACTTTTACGACTTCTTCAAGTTCTGTGTCTGAAATCTTAAAAGTGACAAATTTAGTATTTGCACTGCAGAAAAAAGGATCCCCCAATACATTGAGAAATCCCAACGTTGACATCAGAAAATTCACAGAGACTGAGTCACAGAGACTGAATTAGAGTTTAAAATCAATTTGCCAATTAATTTGTTATTCCCCTCCCCCCACTGATTTCAACGTCTCATTATACATGTTATATAATTTCATCATACATATTGTTTATTTTAAACTTCCCTCTACATAAAAATGAAATAAAAAAAGGAATTCCCTCTAAAAAATGAAATAAAAAAGAATAACAAAGCACGTAAAACCAACTTCCCAGCTACCTCCCTGAAGACATTATCTTCAGTAAAATAGTTTTCTTCTCACCATTACAAAATACTAGGTCTCAATTTCTGATATAATGCTATTTCTATTATATTTAATCTTCAAAACCTGCAAGCTTCTTCACTTTTTCTTTCTTTATGAAGGTTATAAAAGGTTCCCAATCATCTCAAAAGTTATGGATGGCTTTTCTTTTATCATTAATAGTTTATCTATTTTAATTATTCCTGTCATCTTTTTTTTTTAAAAAAAATACTCGATTTTCAAAAAAACTGAAATTCAACAAATCAAAAATACAGGCACTAGAATAGAAAACAAAAGAGTCCAATGCAGAATCCATCCCTGCCAACTAAAACTAACATTTAAGGTCAAACACTCTTTAAAAATTATATGCATGCATACTGTACACACATACAGATACTAATAATATAGTTTTATTTTTTGTATTTTATTATTTTTAGTTTACTATTTCATTTTATTTTATCCTATTTTAAATGGGGTAGAGGTTACGTGTTAGGTTTTATTGGTAGGAGTGGATTATGGGACGGGGTCTTTGAGAGATTATATCAGGTTTTTTGACCTTTTATTGTGAAATTTTGATAATAAATTAATATTTAAAAAGAAATAAATCACTCATTACTCATCTTCAATGCAGCATCTGAGAGTTGACAAAACTTACATATTAAAGAAAAGAAAAGTGAGCAAAAGATGAGTTACACATCAACCTGAAAAGGTTGTAAGATGGATGTCATGTTTTCGTATATAATCCTCAACTTCAGAGTTCCCAAAAAAACTTAACCCCATCCCCCTTCTCAGAGGACAATTCTATTAAATGCTTTAGAGCAGTGCTTCTCAAACTGCACTCCTCCAAGTGTCTTAAACTTCAACTCCCAGAAATCCCAGCCAATTTACAGCTGTTAGGAATTGTGGGACCTGAAGTCCAAAAAATCTGGAGGGCCAAAGCTTGGGAAACACTGCTCTAAAGCTAATGTGGAGAAAAAATCCAGGTTACAAGGTGGCAACTTTAAAAAGACAAAAGAGGACTTTTGAAGGAGTCATTAATACATGTGTGGCCCATGTCATTCTTTATAAAACTCATGAACATTGAGTTAAAAAACTTAAACTCATGTTAGTGTTTACTAGTGCATTATTTCTTACAACTTTTAATGTTTAACATAATCACATTATTTTTAAATCTAAAACTCCAAGCTCTGGACTATCCTGAATGACTACAGCAGGCAACAAAACAGCTATGTAAATGAGATAAACTAATGTGAATTCTTCTTGAATGGAGTATATGGTATGTCTACTGCTTATTTTATTCCTACGCCCTTTCCAGAAGCTGGATATTTGACACACTGATACAAAGTAAAAGATGGAGCTTATAATAAAAATATGCAAAACGATGGTGGCCATTTTTTTTTTTTACAGATCCCACTGTAAAAACTGAGATTTTTAGATGTGGAAACAAAGTACGCACCTACGGCTATATTCATCAAATTTACTATGATAAAAAAACAAAATTCTCATATGTGTATTTAAACTCAAAATACAAAATACAAAAAAATATAAACATCTACAACAGTTTAAGTAAAAAAGAACTATGATTTGTACCAAATATGGACTCTCAATTTTACCTGAGGCGCTGGAAGCACCAGTTTACTTCTTTTTTTAGTGAACTCTGATACACCACTGGTCTGAAGAATTGCTGATGGTAAGTCAGATTCCTTTTTCCGTTTCAACTGTTGCTTATCTTTCTTTCGCTCTCTACCTTCTTTTTCCCTAGAAATAGTAATATGAAAGGTCCTCTAACTAAATAGCCAGCAATTGATTTAAACAAAACAGTAATGAATTCAGAAAGAATTGAACCATTTTAATGCGTGAGGTTTTCAAGTGACAGGTATTACTGATAGATTATTATAGTTTTATATACATTTATATACTACAAAAAGTGCAAAATTTCAAGAAAGAAAATCACTTCTTATCCTCCATGCCAAAATAAAAACAGAGTGGTAGCACCAAGATCTTTTATTTTCTGTTTCATTTGGCATTTTATTACTTTGAGATTCTGAAGAATAATTTACTTGAGTCTAATGAGCCATTGAATCTAATGTGGACTTCAATTTTCAAAACCCCGAAACTAAATATATATATATATATATATATATATATATATATATATATATATATATATTGGTCAGGAGCGACTTGAGAAACTGCAAGTCGCTTCTGGTGTGAGAGAATTGTCCATCTGCAAGGATGTTGCCCAGGGAATGCCTGGATGTTTTACCATCCTGTGGGAGGCTTCTCTCATGTCCCTGCATGAGAAGCTGGAGCTGACAGATGGTTCACCCTGCTCCCCAGATTCAAACCGCCAACCTTTAAGTAGAAGTCCTGCAGGCACAAGGGTTTAACTCATTGGGCCAACAGGGGTTCCACCAAAGAAAAAAGTTGTTTGATGAGAAATGTAACATGCAGCGGCAAAAAGTGAACTCTGCAATTTAGCCAAAAAAAAGTGTTCCCTACAGTTGTTGTCTACTTAAAATTCCTTCTTTAAAAATAAATGTGTCAGAACACCAAAGCTTTCAACAATGGAAAAGAAAACCTTGGGGTGCATCTATGTTGTAGAATGTATCCACTTTAACTGTCCTGGTTCAATGCTATGGTATCATGGGGGCTGTAGTTTCACAAGGTGGTGAGACTTCTCTGCCAAAGAGTGCTGATGCCTCAACAAACTACAAATCCCAGTATTGCACCATGGTAATAAAATTAGAGATGACATCAAAGAGGAACTCCAGGTAGTCCTGAGGCAGCTTCCCCTTTGGCTTTGGTTCAACACGAAGATTACCACATTACAAAATCTAACACACATCCTAATTTTGGTAAGATAATATAGCCAAAAAAAAAGGTGAGCATTAGATTTGAGTAAATACAGTAGTTAACATTAAAAGAGATCATTTCAATTTTACAAAAATGATGGTTAGAAATTTATGTTGTTTATTTTTCTTCTTGTATTTCAATAAAAACCAAATATGTCAAATCTTAAATTTGGTAACCATTCAAAACAGATATCATTAGTGCTTTGATTGCATTGTAAGATGTTGGACTGAATAACCTTGTGGTCTAATCCAACTCCTTGATTTCATGATCTGACATTAATATTTCTATTACAGTCTTTATTCTGCATCTTTTTGCTCATTTGAACACAATTTTCAAATCAGTAATCAACTTACGATCTCAGTTCTCCATCTAAGTCCTGTTGCCGTAGCTTCTTAAAATCTGCATCTAATATCTGGTAGTTTTCTTCTGATGTGTCATAAAAACCAGGGGCAGGCTTCTTTTCAAATGGGATTTCAGCATTGTAATCTACTCCTCGTTTCTTTTTCCTTTTTTTCTGTATCTCAATCCCTGCTGCTCGAAGTTCCCTTCTCTTCTGAAGAGCAGCAAGCCGCCTAAGAAGGTGTAATAAATGATACAAATAAATGTCAGGAACTGTGATAGGACAACAAATAACCCAGTTCCCAAACAACAGCAGGCCCATTGAACTAATGGAACTTCCATACACATTGACTTTGAGAGCATTTAAACTGGCTCTTAGGTTGGTTTGGAGCTGGTTTGGGAGGTACTGGTTTTGCTGTATAGGCCAGAAACTTCTTGTAGACACACAACAACAACCATCACCAGCTTTCAGGAACATTTCAGGCTCTTCTTATAAATGTGGAATATATGCACTGACAAGCTCTAGGCTACCCCATCAACTCTGCCAAAATGTGTTTTTTTTTACATCAAAATTAAAAATTCCAGCAACTAAAAATATTGGCATTGTGTGCTGACATGTAGTATTTTAATACATGGAACTGGTAAATTGAACTCATCATCAGCAGAAGATATACAATGAAATACAACACCGCTTCACTGAGATTCTCGACTCCTTTCCGTTATTCCCACATTATTTTTATATCAACCTATCAGAATCTTAGAGAGCAGTAACTTCTAGAAACTAAGCGGCATGCCTATAAGAGCACATGCCTGCAAGAGGGTTGATGTACTTGAAAAACCACAGATCAGCAACAGGACACTTGAAAAGATGGAAAACATATTGCCTCAATCTAATTCTGACTAGAAATCACTTTAGCTGCATCCAGAGATGCCTATGATAAACTATGCCTACCTTGCTTCTTCCAGCTGTTTCTCTCTTGCTTTCCTTTTGGCTTTCTTTCCCTGGGTATTAGCCAACCGAGCTCTTGCTTCAGAAAGCATCTCGAGTTCATCTAGAAGTGCAATGCATACAGAATGAGCCTCCTTTGAACATTTATCAGGAATCCCTTGTGTTACTTTGAAGGACTAAATCACCCCTGAGGCTATCTCCTCCCGTAATACAATGTCATTATATCAATATTTCAAGACAGAAACTTTCAATTAGCCTTTTCCACTTTTATATTTTTAACCTGGTCTTGCTGAAAAGCTGGAAAATTTGCAAATACAATTATTATATTAATATTTCTCAGCACTGTTTCAGCAGCATACAGAATACCAAACTGCTGAACTGAAAAAAAAAAGTTTTGTGCAATACAATGACTTGCAGACCATACAATTTTATTTATTATTTATTTAAAACTTTTATATCCCGATCTTCTCTACCTCTGCAGAGGGACTCAGACCGGCTAACAGCAAAGATTCAATGCTAACACTGACAATCTAAAACGTAATACACAACACTAAGTTACTAATTACATTACATAAATTACATAAAAGCCGTTCGCTAGGATAAAATCATATCCAACTCAGTCCGTATGTCCAGTTCATATATTGTGATCAGTACCATTGGTCGATTGCCGGTCTCAGACATCATTCCGCAAAAGCTTTGTTGCACAGCCAGGTTTTCACTAGCTTCCTAAAGGTCAGGAGGGAGAGGGCAGATCTAATTTCATTTGGGAGGGAATTCCATAGCCGAGGGGCCACCACAGAAAAGGCCCTGTCTCTCGTCCCCACAAGCCGCGCCTGCGAAGATGGCGGGACTGAGAGCGGGGCCTCTCCAGACGATCTTAACACTCTTGATGGTTCATAGGGGAGAATACGTTTGGACAGGTAAACATGGACTGGACTTAACTGTCACTGTTCACACTTGTTGTACACAAGATACCTGAAAGTACAAGGTGTTTTTTAACCATTGCACACATGTGAAGTAAATAAAAACAAATTGTAGGTGTTTGTTGCAGAAGTATTCACTCCTGAGTTAACATTGGGTTGAAGAACACCTAACAGCCATTGCAACCATAGGTCTTCTTAGGCAAATCCCTATCAGCAAAATGTCAAAAAGAAAATTACTACTTATGCAAGACACTAGAACAGAGAAAGATTAGAAAGAAGCAATGAACTATAGTACAAAAAATGTTTGATACCACTGGGAATGAGACCACTTAAACTGAATAGGCAGCTGCAGCCTTCTGTGTGTCACCTCATGATGCATACTTGCTAGGGCTGACAGAATGGAAGATCAAAAATCACCTGGAGCCAAACAGTTGCTCATCCCCAATTTACATGAGGGAAACATGTCACATAAAATTAGGTATGGATTAGTTAAAATTCAGGACACAAATTGCTGAAAGCAGATACTATTAATATAAATAACACAGCAAGAAAAAGGAACAGTTTCTTAGAAAGTGCTTCAAGCATACCTTCATCCATATCAATGGGATCTGGCCTAGCTGGCTTGGTTTCTGGATTTGGGTCAATTTCTCCAGGTTTAAGTTTTCGTGGATCATCTGCAGTTTCTTCCTCATTATCTCTCTGTGCAGCTTTATCCCTGCAAACATGACATAAAACAGCAATGCTAAGTTAAAGAACAAATTATATCCCAAAACAACTTGACACATCCCTCCTACTTCTGACAAAAAGACACGAGACCAGTTGCTCTCACAAACAGAGCAGCACTCAGCTGAGTTTATCAGACTTGAACTTCAGAAAAGGGATTATCATTTCCACAATGTCAAATATTTAACTGATTTTTCTGTAAACCCAATTCATACTTGTTTGGGATGGCCTCTAGATACCCTCACAACAAACAAACATTTCATCTCACAGAACATACTTACAGTAGAAATTCATAGTGTTCCAAACACTGTGCAGCTGTTCTCCCAATAATTGGTGCAATAGTCCTCCACTGCGTTGGCATAAGTTTGGCCAAATGCAACAACTTCTCCTCTTCTTCTCGTGACCATTCTGTCTTCTTGATACTTGGGTCTAGCCACTCATACCTTATTTAAAATGTTGACATTGAAATAATTATTTTAAGGTGTCATGAACCATAAACTCCTGTCAATTAAGCACAGTTAACATCAAGATACCTTGCTTTTATGATAACATAAAAATACATCAGAATTAGATTTAAAAATGTTTACATTTTCAGTAGTTGTGAAAAGAAAGGTGGAAGACAACTTTATCTTAAGTTACCAATATCCAAGGTAGATGAACTCCTCCCAGCATTACAAGAATGTTATCTCTAACTTTCAGAATCAATCTGCCCTTCACCAACAATGGGTAGAAATTAGGGTAGAAATGAGGATTGTCGAAAGCTTTTGTGGCCGCAATCACTGGGTTGTTCTGTGTTTTCTGGGCTGTATGGCCATGCATGGCCATGTTCCAGAAGCATTCTCTCCTGACATTTCGCCTGCATCTATGGCAGGCATTCTCAGTGGTTGTGAAGTCCTCACCACCTCTGAGGATGCCTGCCATAGATGCAGGTGAAACGTCAGGAGAGAAAGCTTCTGGAGAGCTATGCAGCCCGGAAAACAGAACAGCCCAGAAATGAGGATTGTTTAGAATCCTATCTTAGGAGAAAGGCAAGATGTAAATTCAATAAATGGAGTAAAAAAAATGTTATACACATTACACCTAGTCACATGCACTCTCTTTCTCCTGCAAACAACTATAGGCTATGCATACACAACTAGAAACTTTCTTGGTTGTGTAGCTGAACTTTAAACAGTCCCTATGATTTTTAGCATAACACGAAGTTGCTAGGAAGATCATCCCAGAGTTAGGGGACAGGAACTATAGTTTTGGTTTTTTTTTTTTTGTCATGTCAGGAGCATCTTGAGAAACTGCAAGTCGCTTCTGGTGTGAGAGAATTGGCCATCTGCAAGGACGTTGCCCAGGGGACACCCGGATGATTTGATGTTTTTATCATCCTTCTGGGAGGCTTCTCTCATGTCCCCGCATGAGGAGCTGGAACTGATAGAGGGAGCTCATCCGCCTCTCCTCGGATTCGAACCTGCGACCTGTTGGTCTTCAGGGGTTTAATACACTGCGCCACCGGGGGCTCCAGGAACTATAGTATGTTGGTGATATTCAGCTTTTCCTCTCTTACAGTAGATATCAAGAAGGCTGTAGACATCCTGAATCAGAGTCTGGATACAATGAAGCATTGCATGTGGCTAAATAAACTGATGCTCTATCTAATGAGGGTGGAAGTTCTGTGAATTGCTAGGAAAGTTAACTTGGAGTTGGGATTAGAACCTGTTCTGGATGGGATCCCCCCCCCCCCCCAAAAAAAAAATCATCATGTTTCTACCTTGGTATTGCTCCAAGGAAAGCCAGGTAACTGTTGTGCCTTTTGGCCACTTCAATTTGTGAGTCAACTGTACTTTGGATTATTCTAATGCCATTGAAATGTGATCAGAAACTACAGTTAATACAAAATATGGCAGTTGAGCAGCTGCCAGTTGGGAGTTCAGATTTAAACTGGGATTTCAGAGCATTCCAATTATGGAATTTTTTCCCGAAGGAACTTAATCTGGCTCCATCCCTTCTGAACTTTCAGCAAGCAGTCAACACAACATTATTTTGCCTTCAGTCCTTAAAGTTAGGACTACCTACACTGGTTGATTTAATTATCTGTGTTTGTTTTAACTATTTAAGGGATTACTACAGTCTGTACAAAATTTTTTATTGCCGTATTGAATGTTTCAAACATTATATATCGCCTCATGGGCCTTCGTATGCTGAGAGGCAAAATGGCTTAATAAAACACATTTCCAATTTTCCAGATACTACATGCTGCTACATACCATCTGGCTTTGCATTGCTTTGCAGATTTTCTGTGCAGCAACGAGGCAATACGAGACCATTGATTTTTGCCATATTTCATTACAGCTGCTTTAAGGATTTCATCCTAAAAACAAGAAGTGTTCATTTTTATTCCTTACAGTGTTTCCTCAGACAAGACAACACAGTAACACAAACATAGTCAGGCTTACAGTATTGTTAATAACAGCAAACAAATCTCCATAAGCTTGTAAAACAAAACAATCAGAAGTATCTGAATCAAGGCTTGCTGTGGCTCCCCGAATTTCCCAGCATCAGACAATATGAATCTTCCACCCCGTTCAATTTTCCACTGGATTTCCAGTATTTTCTCCCAATACAAATACTGATGAGGTTTTTATTTTTGGGCTAATATATTTATCTAGTTGTTTTTAGTATCTGAGAATTACTCTATTTTGGACAGGTATGCTCTCTGTGGCAGCCAAGACACAATAAATTAGAGTTAGCAAATTATTCTGTGTATTGGCTTTGTAAGGAATTTACCTTGAACTGAGCAAAAAATCTGATATAATACTTCAGTATTTTCTAAAGTTTAAATGTATGAAGAAAATAAATATATCTTACTGATCAACAGATCTGCTGATTCTATTGAGACAATGACTGGAACGGCGATTCGACGGATGCCTGTTTTATTGTTTTAATGATTGTTTTATTGCTCATGGATGTATTTTTTAATTTGGTTTATGTCTAATTGTAGTGTATAATTGTAATTGTTTGTACTGGCATTGAATTTTTGCCATTACTTATGTGTAAACCGCTTTGACTCCCCTGAAAATAAATAAAAAATAAATTAAGTACTAATTAATTAAGAGTAACACAATTTTATTTATTTATTTAATTAATTAATTTACTGCGCTTTCATACAGCCTTTCTCAGCCAAGGGCAACTCAAGACGGTTCACAATCGGCAACGATTTGATGCCATAATAATAACAGGATATACAGTTAAAAACAATTATAAAAACAGTTATAAAACAGTTCAACATTAAAAATATAAAAACCATAATATCTATAAAAACAAGTCCTCATTGTCTCCTTACTGAAATCATGATCCAATTGCATCATCAGATATTCCATGATACATTTTCATCTAATTATGCTCCAGCTCTAACAGCCAGGTCTTAACCATTTTGCAGAATATTAGAAGGGAGGGAGCTGATCTTATATCCCTGGGGAGGGCCTTCCATAGCCGAGGGGCCACCACTGAGAAGGTCCTGTCTCTTGTCTCCGCCAAACGCGTTTGTGATGAAGGCGTGATCAAGAGCAGGGCCTCCCCAGACGATCTTAAAGTCAACATGCTTCAAACACATCTAAACCTCAAACCAAACCTTTGCAGGTGTTTTACAGATCAGATCATTAAACAATTCCTGTAGAAAATGGGACCTGTGGATTTCTCAAAGGTCTGTTATGTTTCGAGATGCTCTGAAGTTAAAAGTGAGAATAAGGTGACCAAATTTGCAGATAACACTCAAGATTCAATGCGGTCTATATTTGCCCAAATCTATCTCTCTATATAATAAACTAGTGGTCCCCTGCCACGCTTTGCTGTGGCCCAGTCTGGTGATCTGGAAAATAAAGTACTGAGAAAGTGTTGGTTTCTAATATTACATATATTAGAAACCAACACTACTGCGAGGGGGTGTCATAAGGGACACTAAAAACCACCAGAAAACACAGTATTTTCTGTTGGTCATGGGGGTTCTGTGTGGGAAGTTTGCCCCAATTCTGTCGTTGGTGGGGTTCAGAATGCTCTTTGATTTTAGGTGAACTATAAATCCCAGTAACTACAACTCCCAAATGTCAAGGTCTATTTTCCCCAAACTCTATCTGTGTTTATATTTGGGCACATTGAGTATTCGTGCCAAGTTTGGTCCAGATCCATCATTGTTTGAGTCCACAGTACTCTCTAGATGTAGGTGAACTACAACTCCAAAACCCAAGGTCAATGCCCACTAAACCCTTCTAGTGTTTTCTGTTTGTCAGGGGAGTCCTGTGTGCCAAGTTTGGTTCAATTCCATCATTGGTGGAGTTCAGAATGCTCTTTGATTGTAGGTGAACTATAAATCCCAGTAACTACAACTCCCAAATGACAAAATCATAATTTTTTGAGTGGTGGTCACTCCTTGTGTAGTGAGACGTTTTGTTGCCAAATTTGGTGTTATTTCGTTCATTGGTTCTTTTGTTTTTAAGGTACTCATTACGCACAGAGCATTTTTATATATATAGAAGTGTACTTATGTATGTATGTGGGTGAGTATGTATGTTTGTGGCAGACTTCCAATTGGCTCCCACTTCCAGAGACCACTGCGATCCCACCAATGACAGATCTGGACCAAACTTGACACACAGTACTCTGGTGACCAACAGAACATACTGGAGGGATTTAGGGGGACTGACCCACCCAGGTGGGAGTTGTGGTTCACCTTGCTTCCTGAGAGCACTCTGAATCGCACTGCTGATGGATCTGGACCAAACTTGGCACAGACCCAACACAGCCAACTTTGAATACTGGCAAGGTTTGTGGCTTAATGACCTTGGAATCCAGGAGTTATAGTTCACTCATATCCAGTGAAAACCAAACCCAGCTGATGATGGATCTGGACCAAACTTGGCATGCAGAACCACCGTGGTCAACTCTGAACACTGGTGGGGGTTGGGGGCAATTAACCTACGGTTTTTGGAACGGTAGTTCACCCACATCCTGGTGCATTTTTTAATTGGAGCATGCATAAAAAAACAAAAGGAAAGATGGTCTTTTCTCCTAATAAATAGTGTTGCAAATGACCAAACTGATATTACCTCACAATCAAAAACAAAAAGCCTTTTCCCTATAACACGGGCATTGCTGAGTACCCAAGCTAGCAGGAAATAAAGCAGCAAATGATAGAATTGTAAATTGGAAGAGACCCCAAGGGCCTTCTAATCCACCCCCATTCTGCCAGGCAGGAAAAGCACAATCAAAGCAGCCCCGACAGATGGCCATCCAGCCTGTTTCTAAGCTTCCAAGACACTCAGACGCAGAGAGTTCCACTGCTGAACAGATATTACAGTCAGGAAGTTCTTCCTAATGCTGAGGAGGGACCCCCTTTTCTGTACTCCCCCCCCCCCTTGCAGCCTCGACTGGGTTTCTTTTGAGGGTGAAGACTGAGGCTTATGAGGAGCCTCTGAAGGAACTGGGCCTGGCGCGGCAAAGAGCCTGCTTTTGGGCACAGCCCCGTGAGAGAGCCTTCCCCCGGGAGGAGAACGCCATGACCGGTTGGAGACTGCTTTCCCTACCTCGGTGTTGCGCCACACGCCCCCTTTGATCATAATCCGCGGCATCTTGGCGGCGAGAGAGGGCTAAAACGGAGCTGAGGCGACGGGCAAACGGCTGCGAGGCAAGAAGTCAGGCCTCAGGCTGCGCGCGCAGTCCCCTCCGTCACCGGAAGCCGACGGAAGAGAACGTTGCCGCGCGGGGAAGGGAGGGGGCGCCGTTTCCCCTGCGCATGCGCACTTGGATCTCCCTCCTTGACCCCTTTCAAAGTGCTTTTGCTCATCACAGAAGAAAGATTGGCTTTAATCCCGAGTGTCCTCGTGTGCCCCTTCCACACAGTTCAATACAATCTCACATTTTCTGCTTTGAACTGGGATATATGACAGTGTAGACTCAGATAACCCAGTTCAAAGCAGATACTGTGGGATTTTATGCCTTATTTATTTATCGTGTCAGTGCAACCAGTCGGTTATATTACATTTCTAACAAAACAAAGCAAAAACAAAATACAAAATACAAAAATGTGTGAGTTTGGTAGTTGATTAAATGTCCTTTGACCAGTATCTGGCCACTTGGAGTGCCTCTGGTGTTGCCGCAAGAAGGTCCTCCATTGTGCATGTGGCAGGGCTCAGGTTGCATTGCAGCAGGTGGTCAGTGGTTTGCTCTTCTCCGCACTCGCATGTCGTGGATTCCACTTTGCGGCCCCAAGGTTGGCTCTGCATCTCGTGGTGCCAGAGCGCAGTCTGTTCAGCGCCTTCCGAGTCGCCAAGGGGGGAGTCTCTCATTTGGTCACTTAGGCGATCCCTCATTGGACGAGTAAGATGGTTTTCCATCATGGGTTTCCTTGTGGGTCCGTATGTGGCTGTGGAGCCCTATTCTTGCTCTGCATCTTCTTCCGCAGTGAGGGCATTGGTTTCCAGGTGGAAGGCGGTCCCGGTCGGGGTTGGCTTGACGTGCCTTCCTCCTGGCACGTTTCTCTCTTTCACCCTCCACTCATGCCTCCTTGAATTCTGCAGCACTGCTGGTCACAGCTGACCTCCAGCTGGAGCACTCAAGGGCCAGGGCTTCCCAGTTCTCAGTGTCTATGCCAGAGTTTTTAAGGTTGGCTTTGAGCCCATCTTTAAATCTCTTTTCCTGTTCACCAACGTTCCGTTTTCCATTCTTAAGTTCAGAGTAGAGCAACTGCTTTGGGAGACGGTAGTCAGGCCTCCGGACAACGTGGCCGGCCCAGCGGAGTTGATGTTGGAGGACCATTGCTTCAATGCTGATGGTCTTTGCTTCTTCCAGCACACTGACGTTTGTCCGCTTGTCTTCCCAAGAGATTTGCAGAGATTTGCAGGATTTTCCGGAGGCAGCGCTGATGGAATCGTTCCAGGAGCTGCATGTGATGTCTGTAGACAGTCCACGTTTCACAGGCATATAGCAGGGTTGGGAGGACAATAGCTTTATAGACAAGCACCTTGGTATCCCTACGGATGTCCCGGTCCTCAAACACTCTCTGCTTCATTCGGGAAAATGCTGCACTTGCAGAGCTCAGGCGGTGTTGTATTTCGGCGTCGATGTTGACTTTGGTGGAGAGGTGGCTGCCAAGGTAGCGGAAATGGTCAACATTTTCTAATGTTACACCATTAAGCTGTATCTCTGGCATTGGAGAGGGATTGGCCGGTGACTGCTGGAACAGCACTTTGGTTTTCTCGATGTTCAGTGACAGGCCAAGCTTTGTGTATGCTTCTGCAAAGGTGTTGAGAGTGGCTTGTAGATCTTCTGAATGCGCACAGACGACATTGTCATCAGCATACTGGAGTTCTATTACAGATGTTGTTGTAACCTTGGTTTTGGCTTTCAGTCTGCTGAGGTTAAATAGCTTGCCATCTGTCTGATAGATGATTTCCACTCCGTTGGGAAGCTTCCCAAACAAGGTGAAGTATCATAGCGATGAAGATGGAGAATAAAGTTGGGGCAATAACACATCCCTGTTTGACACCTGATTCCACCTTAAATGGGTCACTTTGGGAGCCATTGCTGTCCAAGACTGTTGCCATCATGTCATCATGGAGGAGCCGCAGGATGTTCACAAATTTGTTGGGCACCCGATTTTTTGGAGGATGGTCCAGAGAGTGCTGCGATTCACTGTGTCGAATGCCTTTGCAAGGTCGATGAATGCCATGTACAGAGGTTGATTTTGTTCCCTGCATTTTTCTTGGAGCTGTCGTGCAGTGAAGATCATGTCCACGGTTCCTCTGGAGGGGCGGAAGACCGTTCTGGGATTCTGGGAGGGTGTCTTCTGAGAGGGGTAGAAGGCGGTTTGCAAGGATTCTTGCGAGGATTTTCCCAGCGGAGGTTAGAAGGGAGATACCTCGATAGTTTCCGCCGTCTGTTCTTTCCCCTTTTTTGAAGAGGGTGATGATGGTGGCGTCCTTGAAATCTGCTGGGATTTTCTCGGTCACCCACACTTTTTCTATGAGCTGGTGGAGTTGGTGTGTCAGCTCAGGTCCTCCCGCTTTAAAGATTTCAGCAGGGATCCCATCCGGTCCGCTGGCTTTGTTATTCTTTTGTTGGCTGATGGCATTGCTGACTTGTTCCAAACTAGGCAGTGCTGCAAGCGCATCCCTGGTTTGTTGTTGCGGGATTTGTGAGAGGACCTCTTCGGCCACATTGGAGCTGCGGTTTAGGAGGCTTTGGTAGTGTTCTTTCCAACGTAGTGAAATTGACTTTTGGTCCTTCAAGAGTTTGGTTCCGTCTGATGAGCGTAGAGGCTGTATGCCGTGGTTTCTTGGTCATTTGGTATCAGCCATTGATTGAGGTTCTGGGTTTGAGCCTGCCACTTTTGGACTCTCACTTGCTGAGGTATTCCAGTGAGTGTCTCTGTAGATCTTAGATTTAAGTCGTTGACTTGCTGGATAATACCCAAAGAAGGTATGGGTCGGAGATGTCACTGCCTTGGTCCTTTCACTATTGGTTGCTACTTCCCGGCAGATGTCAGGTGGTGCAATACCGGCTAAACAGTGTAATTTCTCCAGTGGTGTAGGGTTAAGATGCCACACTGCCACATCCCACACAAAGCAACTCACTCCCAAATGTGATGCTCCTCATGCCCCTTGGAGACCTGAAGTAATATTAAGAGTTTGGAAATATTAAACACTAGCCGTCCCCTGCCCCGCATTGCTGTGGCCTAGTCTGGTGATCTGGAAAATAAAGTAATGAGAAAGTGTTGGTTTCTAATATCTAATTGCTTTAGGCTTGTGGGTAAACAGTATTTCTTGCAGTTTCTTTGTCAGTGTTGATGTGGAGATTGTCTGGTTTGCCTACTCTGGAACATGCAACATATCATTGTCCTTTAGGGGTCACTTTTAAATCTATGATACTATATCCCTCTGTGTGTGAATCATATCTATCTATCTATCTATCTATCTACCTATCTATGGCTGGGTGGCTCTTTGTCAGGAGGGCTTTGATTACGTTTTCTTGCCCTGGTGAAGGGAGTTGGACTGGATGGCCTTAAGTATTTTCTGTTGGTCATGGGGGTTCTGTGTAGGAAATTTGCCCCAATTCTGTCATTGGTATGGTTCAAGATGCTTAGATAAAGGGAAACACATTCACCGCCACTCAATGCCTTTAGTCTCTTTGCAAACCAATTGTAGGTGAACTATAAATCCCAGTAACTACAACTCCCAAATGGCAAGGTTAATTTCCCCCAAATTCCATCTGTGTTCATATTTGGGCATATGGAATATTCATGCCAAGTTTGGTCCAGATCCATCATTGTTTCAGTCCACAGTGCGCTCTGGATATTAGTGAACTACAACTCCCAAACTCAAGGTCAATGCCCACCAAACCCTTCTAGTGTTTTTGTTGATCATGGGAGTCCTGTGTACTATGTTCGGTTCAATTCCATCATTGGTGGAGTTCAGCATGCTCTTTGATTGTAGGTGAACTATAAATCCCAGCAACTACAACTCCCAAATGACAAAATCAATTTTTTTGAGTGAAGGACATACATTGGGTTGTTAGGTGTCTTGTGTCCAAATTTGGTGCCAATTCCCCCAGTGGTTTTTGAGTTATGTTAATCTCACAAACGAACATTACATTTTTATTTATATAGATGAAGTCATCCTTTGAAAACTTCCCTAAGGGCCCTTCCACACAGCTCTATATCCCAGAACATCAAGGCAGAAAATCCCACTTTATCTGAGTGTGGACTCAGCTATCCCAATTCAAAGCAGATATTGTGGAATTTTCTGCTTTAATATTCTGGGATAAAGGGCTGTGTGGAAGTGAAGGGACACTGATGCAGGGACACTCCAAATGCACAAGCTTATGAGTCCCCTCATTGGCCCTATGTAGCCATAAGTTGGATTCTTACTACAAAGGTTTTATTGCAGGTCTAGCAATATCGACAAACAAACATTCAGGAATGCAATCAAAGGGTTTGTCGCAACCCCAATGGGGTTGCTGGGTTTTTATCATTTTTGGCATGTACATTCTCATTGGTTCCCAAAGACAAATCATTTCATTGGTCTAAGATAGCTATACAGTTCCTCATTGGTGGTTTATGATTTTGATTGACATAATAGCTCATGTGGGATCCTAACAATGCCACAACTATTGAAGAACTATAGTCCATTGTTCTCTGACCATGACTGTCTTAATGAATCAATCTTATCTGTTAGTCTGTTGCAAACATGACTCCAGAGCTACTGGGAAACTTGGGAGTTCTAACTAGCCACCAGCTAGTTGGAACGGATGTGCTGTTATCCTTGAATAGTAACTTCTCTGGAGCACTGATTTCTCAATCAGCATTTTCTGTAAACATAGGCATACTGCAGAAATAGGGCAATGTGGCAGTGAATCAAGTCATATGAGCATTGGAACATCTCTGAAAATTCCCTTTTAAAACTATGTTTCCTCCAGAAGGGCCCCCACATGATCTGTTTTGAACTGGAATAGATGACTTAGGGCCCTTCCACACAGACATAGAACCCAGGATATCAATGCAGAAAATCCCACAATATCTGGAATATCTGAGTACACGCAGATACTTAGTCTTTGGGTCCAAGGACCAAGTAAGCCCACGCTTTCTTCTTTGAGCCCTTCCTCAGCCCTATATCCCAGAATATCAAGGCAGAAAATCCCATAATATCTGCTTTGAACTGGGTTATCCAAGTCCA